TTTAGTTCAGTTTTTACACCACGGTAATGCCACAAACGTATGTATTCGTCTGATCTTGCTCGGTTTGACTTCTGGCTATACATCAAACTCAATCAACTGTTCCAGGGAAACCGTTTAGGTCAATTGAAGACATCAAATGCGAAACGCTTTGAGCATTGGGAGCTATTACGGGAACTTACTTTAACAACTTTTTCGAGGATTGAATAAAAACCGTGGTACAAGTGTAATGGGGTCAAGGCGGATCGCTTTGAGCCGGACGACATAGATTTTGAAGAATAAGTCAAGAGGTTACATGGGTATACGGGTTTCATTATCATAAATTTTCTTGTGCGTTCGAGGCTAAGTGAGCCGTCTTTAAACTCGATTTTCTCGAAACTGTGTTTTTGAAGCTGATTGACAAGATCTCTCGAGAACTACTCTTCGTTAAATTTTAAACACGCCTTTGAGATACAATTCTTAAAGACTTGAATGAAGATTTATTTATTTATTTATTTATTATTTTTTTTTTTTTGATTACAACTATTTAGAAAAAAAACATGTCGCGAAATGTTCACTGATTTCTCTTTAATGTATGCATAAACTCCAATTTTCTGGCCTTTTCTTCGTCAATGTTCTAAATTAAGGATTTAACTAAAACACGATTTTTTTTACTTTAGATGATCCTGCAAGGAGTTTTCCTGCCAACGCAGATACATCTTTTTTCAGAGAGTCTCCGGAAATGGCGTTGCAATAGTCGAGTTTGAAATATTTTATTTTCAAAAATTTTAGAATTTTTCATTTTTTATATGACAAACAAATTGTTGAAAAAGAGAATCGAGTAACCTCTTAAAAAGTAAAACGATCTTTGAAATTTTCCGAAAACTGTGTTCTTTTTTATGATTTATAACATAGTAATTTGTACCCTATTTCTGAAAAGCAGTTATCAAGCTAACCTCGTATATATGCAAAAATTTTATTCCCATTTGCGTGTAAAGACTCAATTTGCTTTCAATTTATTAAGTAGCCCTGAAATATTGCGCTCCCGCGGGAATACATATGCTAAACCAAATAACAATTTGCACATACAAATATACATGCACACATATGTACATATCCACATACCAAGGAAACATGTTAATGCGAGAAAGATTTAGTGGCCGTAGGAATTCATAGAGGTTTAGTCTCGTTGGTAACACCCCATTTGTTATTTACCATTGCAACATAAATGCAACAGTGGAAAAACAACCTGAAGCATAACTATATCAGCATAAAACATAATACATAATATATGTATTTTTATATATATGTAGTACAATAATAAAAACATATTAGAGTTAGTTTTGTTGTTAGGCGCTTTTTAATTTCCTAGAAACGGCGAAAGAGCGCTTTAAACAACAAACTTTTTGATAAAACATTCTTTGGAACAGAAAGAGTACAAATGAAGATTATTGCAGCTAGTTGTTGATGTGATATAGTACAAAAACAAATAAAATTGTAGAAGTGACTTTCACAAAGTAATAATGAATTGAAATGTCACGCAACCCGTCTATATGGGACAAATCTGGCAACTCTGCCGAGGATTGGCGAATTTTTGAGATTTTATGTGCCGATGTGAAAGTGACCAGTGACAGCAAGGTGAGCTCGATCCGAAGCTAAGCCTTTGAATTAAGAATGAATAAATTACAAAATGAAGCACAAATAACGATAAATGAAAGCTAACATTTTTTATTTTAAAGTTGTAGTTCTATTTGACCAGTGAAAATGGTAAAGAGTGAAAAATTTCATAGTAATCTGAAACACCTAAAATGAAACAAAATGGAAGATAAAATGAAAAAAACGAAAGGATAAATAAGTTAATGCTGATCTTATCTCGGGAAGATGAAGAGGAGGGGCGTGCTCGAATATTTAAGTGTTAATGATGGTTTATATCCATTTCTGACAAAACTAAGAGTCCTATATAAAAACAGTTATTTGTCACTCTATGTAGAGCTAGGAACTACTTAATAATATCTCCACAAAAGCAAAGAGCAGATTGAATGATTTTCGTTGTAGGAGGGGTAAGATCTATCACACTTATACAGTTTGTGTCGTCATATATAAAGTCTTATATAAGAAAGTACGAAAAGCTGATAGTTCTCACCTTCTCTTTAACGAAAAAGTCATCCAGTTTGCTTCGATATTGACCTGTAATTTTGCGCACTTCCTCTTCTCATCATATAATGGAAATCATTTGTCGGAAGTGCCGATATCGGACAACTATGACAGAAAGCTACCATACAAATAGACTAGTCCAACTCATGGTATGGAAAACTTTTTATTTGCTAAAGTATCGTCATGAAACATGGAATAGACTATTATCTCAGACAGCTTTATAATTTTCGAAGAAATAGTTTAGATCAGGCGTATTTATATAAAGCTGACAACTGACTGGTCCTACGTAAGACCTTGTAGGGAAATTTTTTTTTTTTAATAGAAAAGATAAATAGATAAGCAATTGAGGTTTTGCACTGGGACCTATGGTCTATTGCGCACTCTCCTTTCATATATGTTCACAAAGTACCGGACAATGCTCTGAACAACTTTAGGAGCTTGCTGAGCTCCTGACTGTGGTGAGGCTAGGGCCCTGCTGCTATAAATTGCTTGAAAATATACAATCAGGTGTTCTGGAGTTTTCTGTTCCATGTGAAAAAGCCGGAGACTATTAAGGCAGCAATGCTCTTTATAGAGCGCGACAAAGAGAGGCTGGTTGATCATATCACCAAAGTTTGCTAGGTTGTAACCTCTCAGTTGTAACTTAGCGTAGCGCATTCCTGTTACCTGCTTCCAGTGCCGTTGTCTCTCCTCACTCTCTCTTCCATTCCGAGTAACTCCAAGACTGATAGGCGCTTCAGCCTTCCTATACAGTCCTCAGCTAATAGCGATTTGACTTCATAAGCTGAGACCGCTTTTAAGGCAGCTTGAGTAGCGCTGAGTATAACGATACGCTGGTTGCGATAGTTGGGATGGAGATTGATTTTTGCACACTGACTTATAGCAAAGACCTCTGCTTGAAAGATGCTTCAAAAACATCCCATTGGTATGGTTGGTTTAGTATGTGTTCTTGTATTGCCTTCCCGTGTTACGGTCCACTGGATAGTGCTGCCCCTCAGTAGTAGCTCGAGCGTGGAATCACTCCACTCCGCTTTACTGCCGAGAGTCACCCTAAACTTCTTCTTGAAGTTCACCCTCTTCGTAATGCCGTCTTTTGGAAAAAGGAGCAGTGGTGTGTCTTCTACTGAGGCCTTCATTTGTTTCTTTTTTTTTTTCCTTTGCCGAAGCCCTCTGCTGTCATGAGTATGGTATGTTTCGCCGTCACTGGATGCAGCGGTGAGCATTCAGCATGACATGAAGTGCTGCCTTTGGGCAAGTGCGCGTTGCCCATGAAGCGTAGAGGAGGGCGTGTCTTTCCAGCTTCGATAGTTGAAGACTTACAGAAGACTACGTTGCCTTCGATGCCCAAGCAACCGCTCCATAAGTGTCAATAGGCCTTACGATCATGGTCTACAGCCACCTTATTATACCTGACTTGCGTCTGCATGTCATAAGTGGTTTATATATCTGGGCAATGTTAATTCCATGTGTCTATTCCACGGTAAGGTTGAGGCTTATGTAAAGCCTCTTTAAASACCTCCAACTCCCTGTCAGCAAGTGTTTGAGGCTCAAACCCGGAAGAGATGTTCGCTTTGTAAAAGGGACGATGGTTGTTTTTAACGGGTTAAAATTTAACTCTATATTATACTATTTAGTATTATATCATTCCYTTGCTGGAGTAAAATCCCCTTGGATTTAATTTGATAAGGTATCGTCACAAGATTTGGACAGCCATCGCTACAATCTTCGAACATGTTGTTCTGATCGAAAAATATATTTCTATACTCTTTTATGAGGTAAAAAATATACCCTCACTTTATCTTTACGATTATAATGTAACAATTTTTCAAAATGTGAGCATTTGGCAAACTTCAACGATTAGTCACTTATCGACTTCTTGTTGGCAATCGAACGAACTTCACTTAACTTAAGCGCTCATCAGGAAAGTTTTCAATGCGTGTGGTAAAACTGTTAAGGTTAAGCATAACTTCAACGGAAGACATATCTATAAAAAGACACACGCCGATCACAGTGGAGCAAATCCAAGTAAATTTGACTTGAACATTGAATGCCTGAATATTTGAATAATTGCACCGCCGTGGTTGGAAAATACGCCAACTTCAACACTGTGACTCACGGCGCTATGCCGTCATGCTCACTCAATGTTCGACGAGTTTCCGCTTCCGCAGCGTTACTAAGCTTGCACATAAGGACACAAATGCAYAGCCGACGACAAATTTTAGCACATTTTATGCTTTCCTTTTTCATTGTTGTTGCACATATCGCCTCAGCCATATTTCATTKTTCCAGGCGGTTTGTGTGCCGTCATGTGAATGACCTAAATAACAACAACAAATCAAAGTAATAAAATTATCAACTAACAACAAATTATCATAGCGTTGCCATTGCGCCCATTTTTTTCACCTTGTCAATACTTCACCCCTACACCCTGTCAAAGACTAGGCAACGTCTCCCCTTGGTTCACCTTCATTTGGGGCCGTGACTGTTGAACGGCTTGTGTTATGTTGTAATAAATTCCATAAGTGCGATTTCTATTGCCACCAACAACCACACACCATCCTTGCCGTCGGTATGTAATTGTTATGTTGCTGTCTGCAACCCATTCACCGTTCGTTTTGACTTTTTCTGCAGACAGTAGGCTTTATGTATCTTCAGTCTAATTTTYGACGTACTTACTAATCGAAAACGCTAATTTTATTTAGTCGAGCGCGATTTGTTCGAACGCGTGGACGTTTTTTGAGCCTTTTCGTTTTCCGTTTCCTAACTCGTGAAGCCAGTGTTTGTGGAGAAAAATGTCGAGTGACAAAAAGCATCAACATTTGCACCATCACCATCATCTTAGCGCTGTGCACCACGAACATCATGAGCGGATGTCGCCGCATCATCACCATTTGGTAATGGCGAAATCTTTAAGTTCTCACTGGAATAAAAAATTAATCAGTCGCATTAAAGTAAAACCGCATAGTAGTGGAACAAAATATAATTGAAGTGAAATTTAATGACTTTAGAAAAACACAAAATTTATAAAGATTTATAAAAAATTTTAACGATTGAAAATACCATTTGAGTGGTGATTCGATTCCTTGGACAAACGCGAAAGTTTGTTTTGCGGAGCATGTGTTTACTTTACTCTTTAAAATTTTGAAAGAAAAAGTATAAAAGTTTTAAATTTTTCAATCCAAAAAGAACATGTTTTCTTGGAGGAGGGTTTCTAAGAAAGTAGTGAAAAGGAATTCGCATGCTTTTCTACCGATAGTGTAGTTATTTGGGGGTTTTTTGAAAGAAATCCTTTTAAAAATGAGGCAACCATATTGTCCCTTAAGTGTAAACTAATAGCTTTTTAACTAGAGATGTAAGGTCGAAGAAATTATCCGTAATTTCGTAGAATTTTTTTGAGCAAATATGAGTTCATGAAGTATGTTCTTTTTGAAAGCTGAATAGATAGATATTGGGTTATGCATATATAGTATATAAATGATTCGTCCGTTCTTCCGCCTGTGGAAGCTGTAACTTGAGTACAAATTGAGATATCTCAATGAAACTTGGTATATATGGAAAAAGTAAGGACGAGTTGGACGTAATCGAACTACTGCCACACTCACAAGATGTCAACTCTCAAACCGCTCAAAAAGAAATAATCAAATCCGCAGAAGATAAATAATATAAGAATTCATACCGATACTGTGAAAATCTAATTTTTAATCCAACAGTGACTGTAACCGATTAAAAATTTCGTTTTATAATGAATATTAAATTCATATGCAACATTCTTATTATAAAGACATTTGAAAATATTTTCAATAATTAACAAGCAAAGAAGACTAAATTAAAGCCAATCTCAAGTTCGAAAATCATTACAATGGTTGTCAAAAAAGTCTTGCGGTATTTTTTTTTTTTTAATTTTTTTTTAATTTTCAATTGTTCATAAAATTTTCGACGGTTCGATTGGTCTTTCGACCAATTCAGCGATTTTATCGCAATTTTCGACGCCAGGCCTTCTGGAGCGTGGCGCATTTTCAACCATCTCTACACCAGAACGAAAACGTTGAAACCATCGTTGTGCGGTGGAAATGGAAACTGTATCGGGTCCATAAACTGCACAAATTTTATTGGCGGCTTGAGAAGAAGAACTGTAATATATGCCGTATTTTCTCTTTATTTTGCTCCATGTTTGCGACGCTATAACTCAAGAACGACTCAGAAGAAACGACAACCAATCAAACACGTGTTAGCGCGTGAAATGAGCTTTACAAAAAGGTATAGCATGACCCGATGCGACAAATAAAACTAGAACTACGCGCTCTCAGCGCCAACTAGCGAAAATACGGCAAGACTTTTTTGACAACCTAATATTAGATTAGATGGTACATGAGAGCTAGAAAAATAATCACCCGATTTTACCCATTTTTGACAGAAGGCTACAATATTATTAGAAATACATATAAAATAATATTCCTCACAGATTGGATGATATAACCAGTATACGAGATGTGTTCAAAAAGTATCGCGAATTTTGTGTTTTTTCAAAAATTATTTATTTATTCATGAATATCTAATTTGTCCCCTTCAAAGTAATCCCCATGAGATATTGTACACCTGTGCTAATAGTTTTTCCAATCTTCGAAGCACTTCAAAAAATCATTTTTTTTAATCTTCTTCAGCTCCTTCGTCGATGCCTCTTTATCTCATCAAGGGAAGCGTAACGTCGTCCTTTCATGGGCCTCTTCAGTTTAGGGAACAAGAAAAAGTCATAGGGGGCCAGATCTGGGGAATACGGTGGCAGCGGCATCATTAGTGTGTTGTTTTTGGCCAAAAAGTCGCGCACAAGCAACGATGTGTGAACAGGGGATCGTGGTGCAAAAGCCAATTTTTGTCACATCTTCTCCGCCTTCTGAGAACATTTGGTACCACCGATAAACGTTGCTTCGGTCCATGGTAGCTTCTCCGTATGCCACAGTCAATATTCGGAATGCATCCGCGCACTTAATGTCGTTCTTCACACAAAATTTTATACAGGTTCTTTGATCCATTTTTTTGAATAGGTAAAAATCGAAGACGATCCAAAATACGTGCTAGCAAAGCAGCTGTCAACAATTAAATGAACATTCAAAATGGCCGAGCTTGTCGGCATATGTGATAGACATGAGTACCAACATAACGCCACAAAAAATTCGAAATTCGAATATACGTAACCCGCGAAAATTCAAAATTCGCAATACTTTTTCAACAAACCTCGTAAATCAGCTATAGCCAGCGAGGTCTAAATATCCGAAGACTTGCAAGGTTATGACGTGATTTTGACTTTTTTTGGACGTAAGATGGCACTCTTCAGGAGCAATATTTCTGCAAGGGTTATTTGAATAACTTCATTGGTGTTTGGTCTTCATAGTACTGTAAAGCTAAGTATTGATATTGAATTTAAAAATGTGATATATGGGAAGTATGCATGGTGGTATGCGATTTGAAACCTTTTTGATCAGATGGAGTTTAAAATTGGCCAAGTAGATCCTGAGTTATGGCTTTTCACCGAAATTGCAATTTTTGACCACAGCTCGAATTGTGGATGATTATTTTATTAATATTTTTGTAGTTTTTAAGGGAACCGTTACATGGAGAGTAGGCGAGATTATCACTCAAATTTGCAGTGTCGTGGGGTGCATATTAAAGTTCTTAATTTTGAGCCCTTGCTACTACGATGCTCCCTGTAAAGTTGTGTTGTTTTATGTTTTAATTTGGCAGTTGATCGATAATGCCCATCACGAACCCAATTACTGCCACCGACGGATTTTCTGACACAAACTCCGGCAAATAGAACTCCTTACTATGCGTCTGTTCCTCCAGAACAAATTCATGATGCACCAGACCTCGAATTTCGAAAAACGATAATTTTTGAGCCGCTTTGGCTCAATTTTCTTGGTTTTAGCGCTTTTTTTTCCCCTCCATTTCAATGATTTTTGCTCGTTTGGATCGGATCGCTATTCACACGATCAAGCATATCCAAGAAATCCAAAAACAAAAAAAAAACAAAATTGCGTTATCGGGACGACTCATTCGAACGAACTCGCAAGAGATGTCGAGCTCTCTTGTCATCTCTCTAACTCTTGCCTAACTATTTTCAATCACCATATCTTTCACTTTTTATATAATTTCTTCAGTTGATCGAAGGTCGTCCAGAACGAGGTACGTCTTCAATGCTCACTCTCAGCCGTCTTTAAAGGGCACGACTCGCAGGCGTATGTCTTTTATAAAACTGAATCACCGTAAGCCTTTTCCAACATTCGTAACGATTCTGTACCAGAAATTTGGTTAGGAATACAAAATTCGAGATGTATTCTTTAACGATGTTTTTATCCATTGTAAAGCACTACTGAGATATACCGACTTAAGCAGCTGCTGTAAACAAACTGGTTAACAGATCGCGCACATATTTGGCATAGTAACTCAGGGCAGTCCTACCAATTTAACAAAATACAATTACTTCGGAAATATAATTATAATATCCGAGTCCTTTTTCGTCGCAATATGTCAATTTTTACTCAAGTTTAAGCTTGCTCAGACAGACGGACGGACAGACGGTCACCCACCGACTCATCTCTTCAGCCTGAAAATTTGTAAATAAGTATACATACAATCTTATGTCTATTTCGATTAGTTGTAGGTGATAGAAACAACCGTTAGGTGAAGAAAAATGTTACACTCCGGAGCAGGATGTTGCAAGAATATAAAAACTAATTGTATATTAAAGTATGATGTTTGAAAATATTTTGTTAATTTATTATGGAAAAATACTTAATACAGGGTGGTAATATCAGCAGTTACTTTCTTCGAGGTTTAAAATTTTAACCTTTTGGAAACCCTTGGAAGGAACAATGTGCGAATAAATCGAATATTTTGCTCAAAATTTTAAAACGATCGGCTGTTTTAAAGTTATGAGAGACACGCTTCAAGGGTTTGAAATTTTGTAAACCGTTCATTAGAAAGATGTAAAACGATTTGGACCTTGTCTTAGCTTATTATACATTCATTTAAACCAATTACAATCAAAAATCGAAATTAAATAAATATTTTTATACTCTCGCAACAAAGTTGCTAAGGAGAGTATTATCGTTTTGTTCACATAACGGTTGTTTGTAAGTCCTAAAACTAAAAAGAGTCAGATATAGGGTTATATATACCAAAGTGATCAGGGTGACGAGTAGAGCTGAAATGAGATATCATGATGAAACTTGGTACACGTATTTCTTGGCTCTATAAGAGGTTAAGTTGGAAGATGGGCAACTCGACCCACTGCCACGCCCACAAAATGGCGAAAACCGAAAACCTATAAAGTGTCATAACTAAGCCATAAATAAAGATATTAAAGTAAAATGTGGCACAAAGGATCGCATTAGGACGTAATTTTTTTTGGAAAAGTGGACGTGGCCCCGCCCCCTACTAAGTTTTTTGTACATATCTCCGAAACTACTACAACTATGTCAACCAAACTCTATAGAGTCGTTTCCTTCAGGCATTTCCATATACAGTTCAAAAATGGAAGAAATCGGATAATAACCACGCCCACCTCCCATACAAAGGTTATGTTGAAAATCACTAAAAGTGCGTTAACCGACTAACAAAAAACGTCAGGAACACTAAATTTTACGGGAAAGAAATGTCAGAAGGAAGCTGCACCCAGGCTTTCTTTAAAAATTGAAAATGGGCGTGGCGTCGCCCACTTATGGACCAAAAACCATATCTCAGGAAGTACTCHACCGATTTCAATGAAATTCGGTATATAATATTTTCTTAATGATCCCTGATGACATGTACCAAATATGGGTGAAATCGGTTCACAACCACGCCTGAAATCTCGATTATCACTTTATCATGCGAGAGTATAAAATGTGCGGTGACACCCGAACTTAGCCCTTCCTTACTTGTTTTCTTTATTTTTAATCATTATCTATATATTATACTAGGCCTATATATGCCTATGCGTAAGGAGTACTCTTCTACTTTTGGTGGACCTTGTATAAACCATTCGCCCAAAAAATATTTCTTCAAATGTATAACTTCATTCACTTAACTTTATTAAACTTCTATTTTACCCATTTTCATTTAGCTTGACCCGAACTGCAATAATACCGTGGTCAATATTCCTGAACACCATCATGGAATTGATCTTGTTACGACTCTTCGCAGTGAATTGGCGGCTTGTTCTTATAAGCGTGACCGCCTCTCAAATGATGTAGGTTGAAAACCACAGCAATTCTAACTGAATATCACCTAATTATTTTATTTTTTTCGTTGCATATTTTCACAAGCTCGGAGAAACTCGCGTTGCGTTGAATGCACGCGAATCGGAATGTGAGAATTTACGTGCTCAAGCTGCACGCCAATCGGCGCTTATTAGTAGTTTGCAAAGCCGCTTACAAACCGCTGAGAGTCGCGAACAATCAATACAAACTCGTTGTGACAGTACCATTCACACGATTCAGCGGGAGAAACACTCTTCCGATGAACGTAACAAGGAATTACAATGTAAAATACAACACCTGGAGAACCACTTGGCCGCCGAGGAACAACAGAAGGAGCAGGCGCGTGCACAACTGAGCGACTCGCTGCGTCGTCTGGCCACCTGTTTGGGAGTGGACCTATGTGAGAATGTACATCTGACACCAGAGTGTGTACTGAATCGCGCCGAAGAGGTAATGATTGAGCTGCAACGCACCAAGGCCAAAGCAAGCACCACTTGCGATACGCTAAGCAGTTGCGAGAACGAGTTAATGAATTTGAAATCGCTCGCGAATATAGAGAAGCAACGCTTGAGCGCGCAACTGGAAGGTGTGACCAATCATAACCACGAATTGGAGGGACGTTGTCGTCAGTATGAGCGTGACTTGCAATTGCAACGCGATCGGTTAACCGAGTCGGAGATAGGTGGTGAGAAGCTGAAGGAGGAATTGCGTGGCTTCGAGTCACGTTGTCATCGCTTGCAAAACAATCTGGATCGCACTCAAGGTGAGCGTTTGCAATTTTTGCGTTGCCTGGCGAATCAACTGAATGTACCAGAGCCATGCGAAACACTAATCAAGGAGAAAGTACGTGATATGCTGAGTGAAAATCAGACAATGCATGTGGTAAGTCGCAGTCGATAAAAATAGCAAATGATTAACAAATCTAACTTGCAGCAACTGCATTCGCTGCGTGATCAACTGAATTCGGAGCAGTCTAAGCTGAAAGAAACTCAGGAGACTACACAGTGCCGTTTGCGTACAGAGGAGGCGCAAAAATGCGAATTGGAGGAGCGTCTGGAGAAGTGTCAAGCTGAGATACACACCTTGCGCAATGATCACTTGGGTCTCTCAGAGTTTTTGCAACGACTTGCGCGTGCTATAAACTGGGCTGAGTGTACCTCGCCGCCGGCGCTCGGTACTGACACCAACATCTTAGCCGAGTCGCTGTTGGAACGTGCCGAACGCATTGCCGCTCATTATGATCACCATGGACATGAACATGATGGCGGCCATCGACATCACTATCACTCACGACATGAGCATTCACCAGATAAGGTATATAATTTATTTCAAAGTATGAAAATGCCTCCCTCCAGCCCTGAGAAGAATACAGTAATTACAGAAATATACTTAATTCCTCGGTTTACTATGTCGATTACTGCTGTAATGACAATTCTATTGATAGTTTAGCATTTTCCAAATTACTGAACTATGAGCAAGCAAATGACAGAATGAAAAGACCAAGTGCAAAACTTTCGGTAGACGGGTACTAAACTCCGCGAACCTTGGAGCAGCTGTCTCTTTTTACGCGAAGCTCCTTAGTTTTTGAGTTATCAATCTGCAAACTTCCACTCGTCATTTTCTTTCCAAGAAGTTGCTGATTTGTCGGAACCACCGATACCAGCTAAAGATTTTTTATAGATTCCTTCCTAGACAGAGTGGAGAGCATTATACTTATTTTTTATTCAGAAATCTTTGCAAATATTAATATTGGACTTTAACTCCAGGGCTGCTGTGATCACCATACGCATGCGCATGGCAAATTGAGGCGAGAGCGTTCGTGTCACGACATGCCGTTGAAGGAGAGCAGCAGCGTTTACACTTTACAGCGGCGTGTGCGCATATTGCGAGAGCAAGTGCAACGACGTGACTTGCATTTGGAGCTACTGCGGCGTAAATTAGCCATCATTGAAGAGGGCGCCAGGGGCAAGTGCATGCTACAGGTTATCATAAGTAAAAGCCAAGATAAGACAATCGTTTAAATTATTTTTAATTAAATCCGACACAGGGTGAGCGCGATGAAGCTGTATGCCGCTCCAAGAAGGCTAGCAAACAGATTGACAAACTCACTGCACAATTGGTGGACGCACGCAGTCAAATAGCCGAGGTCAAAGCGCAGCTCGCAGAAGCCGTCGAATACAAGGTAAAAATGTATAAATATTACATACAGTATCTTCCTTGATTCCCACTTTATGTACAGATCACTGCCCTGGAGCGGGCACGCAAAATCGATGAGCTCACTGCTCAAATTTGCGATCTTGAAGAAGAGAAGACACGTCTTCTAGCGCAATTTAATGCTGTTAAGGACCGACTGAAGGCCACTAGCGAATCATCTCAAAATAGACGTTGTCGCGATGAGGCACTCATTACTGTGCGTAGCCCCTTCAAATTCACAAAATTATGTTTTACCGACTCACAATTTTTTCAAATTTTCGCTGCAGTCTCTTCGCGATGACATCACACGTCTACAAAACCAACTCTCCGATGCCAATCATCGTCTCTCCCACCTGCAATCGTTCCGTACCTCAGTGGCGCGTACGCTCCACCTGCGCGACTTGCCGGAATCGGATCTGCTGCATCGCTTGCAAGCGCTCTGCTCGGCCCACCAGGAATTTACGCTACTCTCCAAACGTTATGAGACTACATCACCGGTTGGCGATCACCCTTGTCCGCGTTTCGATGATCCTATACCACCGACTCCACACTGTCGTCCGCCCAACGATGCCGAACTGACCAGCGTTACGATGTACGAGGAACACGCGAGATCATCGCACAAACATGCACATCACCACACCACAGCTGAGCATCACCAGCACAAGCATCGCAGCAAGAGCCGCGGTGGTGCGGGGCGTTGTGCCGATCGCTCTAATGATCGCAACACAGGCTGCGCTGATAGCCGAGGCGCAGGTGGCGCTCACGCTACAAACAGCAAACGTTTGCATGATAAATGCTTTGATTCGGATGTCCATCGTCATCATTGTAGCTCTGGCGACTTTCTGAGTGGTGGTTATGATGATCTCGACTTCAAATGATTGCTCATTAATTATGGAGTTTCATGCGTATTATCTTAATTTTAGATACTACAGTTATTTTTATACCCCTCAAGTACTGTCTCAGGCGAGTTTCAATAAAGTAAGCATTGGAAGAACATTATGGTGACTTTTTCGTCCTTCGATTTTATTCATGAAAATTCATGAAGACTAGGCTACTTTTAAGCTGTGCGAAATATCTTCATACCCTCCGTCCGTGATGGTGGTTTTTTTATTTAGATATTTTGAGTCCATAAATTACATAATTTTAAACGACAGTCGCTTTTAAGGCTTTCAGTTGACAATCCGTATTTTTCTTAATTTAATAAAATATTCGATAGGGAGATGGTGTCTTTTCAGCAAAATTTGACACCAGAAAAGCTTTCCGTCTACCAGACCACTGCAAAGACTGCAGACCTCTCCAAGCGGAGATCACAGCAAATAAAGACCGTCTTGCTATTCTGACAAGGTGTGTGCTCATAACAAAGAATATACATAATTATATATACAGGTAGCTAAGCAGCTTTGAAGCCACTAAGTATCTTAAGGTTTCGTCAAAGATAATGAAAAAATTCCTTGAACTCTTATTGGATTTTCTTGCATCCCATTTCATGCTAAATCTGTAATCGGCTCCAGAACAGAGTGTTGATTGAAAACGAGGGAATGTATGTACATACCTCTGGCTACTTGAAGCCGTTATTTATTCCATTAATATTTTATAAATATAGCCTAGTCTAGGTAATATCAATACCTAACATGTTCAACAATCAGGCAAACATAGCACCGACTATTAAAACTCAAAATAAGTGATATAGGGACTTTAGCAGTAGTGCTAACAGGTCTAATTTATAGACTGTATACACCATTCAATGACTGTTGTAGAAGCTATCAGGAAGCAGAAGATGAGGAGACTATAAAATATATTTTATGCAAAGCTTTGAATTGCAACAATCGGACGAGGGTTCTTGAACGCTGTTACGGATGATAACACTTGTTGTATTGATGGACTTCACCAAAAGAACGAGGTAGTTCAGACACGACACACCACGCGTGAGTCGTGTCAAGTTCTTATCTTATTTTTGCTCAGTATTGTTTGGCATTTCATCATGGAAAGACTTACACCAGACATCGTTCACATTCAACTATTCTCTTCACACTATCCTCAACACCATCACCCATCTTGAGAACCAGCATTCATTATTGAATAATATTCGACCGAATAGACAACGAGAAAATATAGCAGCCGTATGCTGAACGTGTACATGAAGACCGAAGAGAGTCGATTCGATTCCGTTCGCAGCAACTCGGACTGACGTCGAAATCATAAATTGAAATCGTACAATATATAAATTGTGCTAGAACTGAAGACGCTCGACCTTGCTATGGGCTCTTGAAAAGTTCAAAGAAGATCCGACGTTTTCGAGTAAATTTTATTTTATTTTTTTTTTTTTTTAATGAGTAGAGAACCTTGAAATGGATCACCCTATCTTTTATTATTAACGCTGACTACACAAAATCACAATTCGGAAACAAATTTTTTTTTTATTTCGTGTTATGCCATAGAAGCTGCTTCACCACGCGACATCACTTCGTTAAAATCTAAACTGTTCACAAAAGCAACGTCGCAGAACTTGCTTTGCTTAGCGCCATCTGGCGGCAAAAATCGCTACACGACTAAGAACAACTGAGTTTTGATTTAACATCGGCAGGTGTCGCTTTGCTACACTGGTAACCAAAATAGTGTTCCTCCCTTATAGGAAATATGTACAGTGAAAGTCCCATTACGGATAGTCTTTATAACCGGTGACCTCTCATAACAGGACACATTTTGTGGGCAAGGTTTTCATTAATATTTTCATACAAAACGAATTCCTATAACTGGACATGGGGACGTTGCATTGACCGAACACGGACACTATTTTCGCAATATTTCGTTCAAATTATCTCTGATAAACGAAAAATATTTCATAAAATTAAAAATTTTAAAAATTTTGTAGTTACCGTTTTTAACCCTTATTAATTTGTGGTATTGCCGTACAGTGTTTTTTATGTTTTTTTTTTTTTTTGTTTTTTTTTTTTGTTTATATTCAAAGTAATACTATAGGATAAAGCTATATAAACTGATCTATCAAAATCAAGACAAATATTTTTTTCTTGCAGATCGTCACTATTTTTCCATTTATTTAACTTAAGCGTTGATTTTAGTGAAACTTCGGCAAAAACTGTTCTCGTAACGAATTTGTATTGACCCCAACTGTACTATTTGAATATAATATTGATTTCATAAACTGTATCCTCAGATCTATTTCTTTATTCAAAAAGAAATATCATTTCGTCTTCTATCTCGGCTAAAATAATCTTGACATCTACTACGAAACTAATATCTCGAGAGTTGAGAGTTAATCGGTTGTACCAAATATGTCTATCAAAGAAGATATTTAACCAAGATTGCACTGAATTCTTTCAGAGATTTACCTAAAGGTACTATAAATGTTGAAACAATTACTGAATGTAATATTTTTAACATATAATATTTCCATAAGCACTTGCTCTGAACATAAATTTTGTTGAAATAACCTTACCGGTCCAGGTCCTACTCCATCTGATCTCTCCAACGGAGTGGAGGTCTTCTTTTTTTTTTTTTGCTTCCACGGGCGGATTTTGAATCTTCCCTTCAAAGCTGGAGTGTTTGCTTCCATCCAAACAACTTGACCAAGCCAGCGCTGCCGCTGTCTCTTGACTCGCTGAATTATGGCAAAGTATCGCGAAACCTTTCTTTCGAACACTGCTAAAACCGACTTACAATAGCATAATTATTTCATTTATAGTTTTTAGTGTCCAACTGAATAAAATGTTTGGCCGATGGCGATGGTCGGATTCTGGTTGTTTCAACCAAAAGAAAAATTATGTATAATGTCGACTATATTTTTTAGGAGTTATCCTAATGAATATATACCGTAGAAAAACCATGTATTCTTGTATAAGCTTATGTATGTATGTAAAAATATCGCTAAAGTCATGTATCCATACTGGTTTGATCTCTAGCCCTTTCAGGTGCTATGTTAATGCGTATAAATTTCCATACATTTATACTTTTCTATTCATTTGCAAACTCAGCCGTCTGTATCTCCGGCCATGTAAGGTCTAGTCAAAAATGTTTGTGGCTCACTATTGCATTTTAGAAGTTGTTTATTCTAGAGGCCTTGCCCTCTTCGCTGAACGTTTCCGACTGCACCGAAACTGCATAATCTGCAAACCACAGACACAAATGCAGCAACAACAAGAACAACATGCAACCTGCTGCCGGCTTTTAGCGTTTAGGTGCATTGAACTTAAGCGATTCCACACAGCTCCAGTCGTTGGCCAGCCGTAACTGCAGCAAACTCGGTGATCGTGTCTCATTTTTGTATCCAAGTGTATGTAGGTATGTATGTGTGTAGGGTTATAAGCAAATTGTTACAGCATACGAGTTCACGTGCGCAAATTTAGAATGCTCTCGAGGGGGTCTGGAGAGGCGACGCGAGTCAGCGGAAAAGCTGCAGCAGACTAGTCAGATTCAGTGTGCAAAAAGTCATAAAATGCTGCAGAGAAGAGCTGGCAGATGGCGGCATTGAACGCTGGAAGATGTGGTAATATACCAGTTCGCAGCTAGAAGGATCGTTAGTGAAGGAGGGAGTACATCAGAACTTGCTTGTGAACATATTAGACTATAAAAGACATAAAATATATATACTTTTTTAATTTAACGCTCCCTTGCATGGTAAAGCCACTATACCAAATAGCTGGCATACAAACTGAACTATCAGAATGAAGTGTCTGTATGGAAAATTTTTTAGTTTGACGAGATATCCTCCCTAAATTAGGTGTAGATTATTAGCCAAAACAACGTTACAATCTGCAAAGAAATTATTCTGTGAAGAAGTTATTCTGATGATTTTCTAACGCAACAATATAATTTCCATGAGATTCGGACTACTATAGCGTATGACTGTCATACAAACTGAACGATCAAAATAAACACAAAGATCTTCTTATACTTTCTTTTTCTGTAAGAAATGAGCCTGTGAGGGTTTCTATAGCTTCGGAACTTCATAATCCTGAGATCAACTAATTCCATAATGTTAATTTTTTAGCAAAAAATATTTATAATATTCACTAACTGAAGTGGCAACTGTTGGTGTATTTTGACTTTCTTATTCTTTATAGCATTCTTCGCTGCCTTCAGCATAAGCTTCCGCTTACAGTAAAGTTGCCACCCCAGTTGGAATGTAAGAATGAAACCGCAAACAACTGCGGTGCAGGCATAAATCAACACCAATATATATGCATACATATGTATATAATATGTACCATACACATATGTATATGTGTGTATATATGCATATATCTTATCAATAAAATATATGCCCTTCATGTGCAAAACCAACATGTAATATACTATATTCACATATAACATGTATAAGATGTCATTGAGGACCGGCGTAATCGTGTACTTATTTTCGTAGAATACATTTTTTCCCCCCACACAAAATTTATATGGCAACTGAGATACCTATTCTTTTCAGTGATATAGTGCGGTCCAGAACCATCGAACAATAAGTATAGTTATATTCAAACTCATACCAGTAAAGAATAGGTGAGGTTAATCTGGTAGGATATAAACTATTTTTGTGCTATGCGTGGACTATGTGTCTACAAATTATCATAGAAAAATGCATTTGTAAAATAAAGAGTTTTTTTTTAAGTACTGACATTTCTTAAGCCCCTATGAAAATATGATTCTCTCAAAGAAAATGATAGCCTTTACTCGGAGAATAATCTTTGACAAACTTCGTGAAGATATCTTGTCAACTAAACAAGTCTATGCAAGGACTTGATTTTGACCGCAGCACTTGATCTGCATGGCAGCTATATGCTGTAGGGGTTTGATATCGTAGGTTCCGACAAATGAACAGCTTCGTGGAAAGATTTACATACATTTATAAACTCTGTTCAGGGTATACTACATAAATATGGTAGCGAAACGAAAGTTGAAATCAGATGTACCAAAAAGTAATAAATATGTGAATATATTCACGGGATTTTAAGGGACCAAAAATTTCAAACACTCATTGAGAATTAACAAGTTATGCAAGAAGAATTTCAAACTAATTCAATAAATCAAAACAACATTGTGTATTTGTGATAATTTCATTCGCTTTCAATATAATTCCTTAGCCTCCTGCTCATTCTCCTCAACCTTAAATAGATACATAGCAATAAACTCATCATATAATTTATCCTTCTCACGCAATTGCTCTTCCTTGGCAATCTCATCAAGCAACTCCAACAGCTCCTGCTGCTCCTCCACGGTAGTTTCAGAAAGTGTATCCCACAACTGTTGAGACGCGGCCGCGAACTCGTCCATGAAACTCAAATACAAGTTGTCAAACTCCGTGACATTCTTCTTGGACTTGTAGAATTCGTCTGAGATCAGTTGAAAGTTGAATTCCGGTTGTAGAGGTTCCAATTGGCGGCGCAGCAATTCAATCTGCAAATTGTTCACTTTGAATTGTCGCAGCAATTTTCGCTTCAATGTGAAGTTCGTGTACGAAGTGTCATCTAACGCTTCCTGTACCTGCGCAATATACTGCTGCATCGTTTGATTGGTGGCTTCCAACAGTGTTGGCGGCATCTCTTTGCTTAGGTTGTGGTAAACGTTTCGGGTGATGAGCAGCGCACGATCAGTTGTGTTGAGTACGAGACGTTCGACGCGCTGGAGGAACGCTTGTAACTCTGGATTGGCTAGCTGAGCAGTTTGAGAGCCGTCTGAAAGGAGGAGCTGTACAAATAAAGGTAGTAGACAGATTACTTCACAACTAAAGAGAACATTTTTTACTCAACCCTCGCTCTCACCTGCGTGCAGATTATTGAAAGAATTATTAGCCAACGAACCGTCATTTTGCTCGCCACAAACGTCTGGATACAGCGCAATACAAAGACTGAAACCAAAACTGGTCTGACGTGCCAACTTAAAGCGCATGCTTGTTGGTTCTTTTGTATTGTAGTTGTAACGAAGGCAGAAGAAAGCGTGTTCAGGATTAGCATTTATCTACCATACATACATCTAAATTTGATAACGACTATTTTACGAATAAGAGTGACTTTCAGTCCATGCAAATCTTTATCGTTCTTTAACGTTTCGACAGAGTTAAAAAAAGTTGAAAACGTCTTCGACAATTGATCAATGAGTTTTGAATGTTCTTAAATATTCTTATTTAAGTTAAATACAAATACAAGTTTAGAAGAAGTTGACGTTGATTACTGAAATGGTATCTTTGAGAGATTCGTGCTAAGGATAACGATTTTTTGATACTCACCTGTTTATAAAGAGTGTTTTTTTATAGGTACGACAATTCTCTTTTAGCACTTATCTGCGTAGACAAGCGACTTTAGGTTTTCTTCTTATTTATTGGCGTAGACACCGATTTGGCAGTTATAACCGAGTTTACAACAGCGCCCAAGTCGTTCGTTCAAGTGTAAGCAGGTCTACACCTGGCTTTTCAAACGGTGTGAAGATCTTCACTTTTTTCAGAGTTGACGTGTTTTTATACAATCGCACGATATGACTATCATCGTTCCATCGTTTACTATATTCGCCGTAGCCAAGGCAACTCCTTTTCTTCCTGTCAGAAGCAGCTTTAAAATCGACGAAGAGGTAGTACGTGTCGATCTCCTTTTCACTTGTCCTTTCCAAGAGTTGGCGCATTGTGAATATCTGGCCAGTTGTTGACTTTCCAGGCCTAAAGCCACACTAATAAGGTCCAATCAGTTTGTTGACGGTGAGTTTTAATCTTTCACACAATACGCTCGATTTAACCTTATATGCGCTGTTGAGGAGGCTAACTCCACGGTAGTTGGCGCAGACTACGGGGTTCAATGTCTCCTTGTGTTATACTTTCATTGCCATTCAATAGGCAGTCTGCACTATTCAATATACCAGGTGTTCTTTTGCCTTTTCCGAAAACCAATAGTTTCGGCTGCAGCTGTACGTAAGGAGCTGAAAATGCCGTTCCATAGTTTCTTTATACCGAGTTGGTGATTTGTGCTCTCAGAAAGTAGGAGGGCAAGGCGACTAGAAAATCGTTCGGCTGTCTGTTGTGATGGCAGCTTCTCGACTCGAACCTGTGTTTGTTGACATCCTAGACAAGCGACTTTCAGGCCAGCGATGCGACATAATGCGTTCACCAAAAGTATCCTTCACTAATTGTTGAAGCCAATGCTGAACCACACTAAGAGCGGAACGCAAACAGCGAATTCCGCAAAACCGTGACCCAAATCAGCTGATACGACCTATCTTATGGGAGCGTAATGTAAATGATCAGCCAACACCGCTTCTATCGCCCGCTTTACCATAGGATACCGTAGATTTCCACGGCATTTGGATTTTTCCCGAAGAAACGTGTCAGCTGATTGCTCGCTCACAACTCGATATACTGTAGTAATTATAAAAATTGTCTTCAATATGTTTGAAATTTTCTTAAAGTAACCCAAAATCAGAGTCGAATGGTATTATTAATAAGTATATAAACTATTTTCAATAGATTGATTTCAGCTTTCATATTTTATATTATGAAAAATTGTAATTGAAAAATTAGATGTGATCAAAACTATATATGCGTATTGAGCAATGGCAATATTGTTCAAATGCAAACAAACAAAGATAGCTGATTTTTACGGGCTCAACTTTTGACATAACTGGAGAAAGGAGGAGCATTTTCGCTATTCCTGCTATTAGATCCTTCAATTCAAAAACGATATTGTCGTTATCATGCTTCAAGAGCGTTCCCTATTAACTGTCACTTTACCGGCTTAATTTTTATTTTTTTATTTTTTTTTTTAAGAAATACATATGGACCAATGACTCTCTCTGCCCCTAGTGTGGCTTGTCGTAACTCACAATGCGATCATTGTTCCCTCTGATTAGTTACTATGTTTCACTTGCGCTTGCTAGGGTGTAGTGGCCTAACCCCAACACAGCCGTACATTTGTGCAAATTACAGTTCATACATATATAGTACATATGGATGTTTATAGCTACCCAGAACAAAGGTATAGTCAACTGTTAAACTGTTTTTAATGAACTTCCAATATTGACATGCATATGTGTATATCGGGTACATAACAACATCCTTCATAACAATATCCGTGTGTGCTTTAGCGTATGCTCTGCTGTATGGTTTGACGTATGCATATCCAGGTCATGGTTAGTTAACCGCTAAGGATAAATTTAGCGCACCCATTTGGGTTGCATCGTCGAGAAGTCAAGGCGAGTACTAAAAGCTTTCCCACAAATATTCAACCATTTTAACAATGGAACTCATTTCTGCGGCAATTTTTTAAATACAGACATATGACAGCGTGCATTTTAATGGCTGTGCAAATGCATAATATTTTTTTATATGCAAATATATATACATATGTTCTTTTTTTCGGTACTGCCGCATATAGCTTCAAAAATAAAAACGAAAAATTTAGTTTATTTTTAATACAAAAAAATTTTATTACTTCCATAGTATTTGGTTGGTTGATATTTTTACAATATGTGAATGCTTTTCAGTGGTCTCTGTTGCGAATAATGTACGCATACACATGTACCAATATCGGGTGACATCCCCAATGGAATTCCTTATACAATTAAATTTGTATCTTATATTATATAATATGTATATGAGACGAGTATTCGCTCCAACAGCAGAATGGCAATACCTGAGCTCACTGACTATGGCAGTGGGGTCGAAAGCCGTGTTCAGCCATACTATTAATTTCATCCAATTAATTTGTGGTGAGACTTGCTTAACGAAAATGGAATCCGATAAACTGTAAATTTGGTGTGCTTTCAAAAACAAAACACTGTTCTCTTGCGATCAAGCATTAGACGACTAAACTGTATGTGAGTTCGGCCACATGGAGCTTGAAAATTTGGCGCAAAACTTACGAAGAATCAATGCAGTAAGCAACGGTGCATTATCGCGATGTAAAAATCAAAAGTTGTCGGCTCATAATTGCGGCCATTTTACCAATAACTTCGCGCAAACGTCGCATAACACTCAAATAGACTTTCTTGTTGACACTTTGACCGGTCGGCGAGAGTTCGGAGTGCGCCACACTTCGTTGCTCATCTCTCCCACGATCTTCGCCGATTAGTCGTCTATTTCCAAATCATAAGCATAGATACAAAACTTATCACGAGTAATGATACGTTTTATGGCATCTTGATAGTCGGAAAGCATTGTTTCACAGACGTTAACGTGACTCTGTTTTTTGAAAAAATCTTGTGATTTTGGAATCAATCGTTCTTTTACTTTCCTTGGGCCCAAATGATCTTTCAAAATGTTTTTCGCTGATCCTTACGATATTCCAATGATGATAAGATCTCTGACTGTTAATCGTCCATTCCAAAGCACCAATTCTCTTATTTTTTGACGTGTTGTTCATGGCCGCGCTGGATGTGGTTTCTCGACCCTCTTAGAGTATTTTGTACCAATCAAAAACAATTGCTCATTACAAATACTTATCACCGAAGGCTTCTTCCATATTTATGAACGTTTCGGCACCAGAAATTACAATGTCTTACTAATTATTACTTATTGCCCATAGCATTAAAATGATCAGGTGTCGAATATAATAAGATTTTGATCACAAACCCGCATAATTTCCAACGACATCTATTTTAACCCATTTGCTTATAAAATTTTGCAGACAAATTAATCACGCACCAACGAAGATATTGAAATCCGACAATAAAAAAAATAATCACCTGTGATTGACTTTATTTAAAACTGGTTTCTATCCTAACCCTATTGTGCTGATATACTTACTCTTGCATTAATTTTGTTAAAAAGTTTACAATAGATGTAGCGAGGACCAATTCACAGAAAAAATTAGGCTTAACAAACGCAAACAGTTTCATCTGTGAGACGCGTCCAACAACCATGAAAGTTCACTTTTGAAGGAATTTTCAATGAGCACAACAAAGCTCTAGCAAGATTTTCATAGAGACAAAAATCTTATTCTAAAAATTCAACATAAGCACCATTCAGCTGTTGTGTTTAGTGAGAGTCTTTTGTAAAGACATTACACCGTTTCAATTTCGTAAAAAGAGGTTTGAAAGGTGTAAAAAGTATCAAAAGGTGTTTTAGAAGGATGCTTTAGAAGAAGAATTAAATAATACTCACCTCGTGGGAGAGCATTGGATCTTCTAGCAAGATTCTGCCCCGGCATACAAAATAGAAACCACTCAGCAGTGGCTTAAAAGCAATATTCTTGATTTCATTGCTACAGATGGTTGGCTGTCTGGAAGTCTAGTTTGAATCAATGAACAACAGTTTGCGGTCAAAGCTTGAGAACGCAGCACCTCAAATCTTTTTTGGAGCATCCTCATTATCAATAGAAACTGTGCGTGCTGATATTGATCAATGTTCAAATAGTTGGGAGGGCTTGAGTGAAATCAAATGGTGACAATTTTTAATAAAATTATAAGCATCGCTCAAAAAATATTTAATAAAATTAACTTTATTTAAAAAATGTATTATAGTTTAAGTAGGGCTAACTATGAAATACACAACATTTCCGATTTCGTATTTAATAATTTATGATCTATGTTTACTAAATATTATATTGAGTTCAATAAAAAAGTTTAAGAAGTCAGCTGAGGTAAAAAACAAAAAATGTATGGATCTGACTTAGACAGATATTTATCCTTTTTGTTACCCAAAATCTTCTTAAAGTGCACCACCTCTTAGATCGACGCAATGTTTTGAGTAAATTTATTAAGGCTCCAATCTCAATCTCAGCTACTTCGCTAGGTTCTCCAAAGGTGTGTCTGCAAAGATATTTCAATCTCAGTCAGGCAAAAGTCAGACAAGGGAAGAATGTGACAAGATGATTCCACCTCGTTTTCTTCCATACAGCTTTGGCAAAGAGCGTACG